ATCCGATTATAAATTTTTATTTAAGATCTTTATTTTAAATTATGTGGCGTTTGGCGGTTTGCTTTCAGCGGAAATGGAATACTATTTTTAGAAATAGTACTTCTCAAAAACTTTAAAGAACATTGGAATGACAGGTATTTTTTACAATACCTTTTTTTTTTATGGAACATGATTTTTATATTATATTATACAAAAATAATTATTTATACATTTTTGGGTTTAATTTTTTTTTGTAAAATAAATTCAAAATTGAATAATTAATCATTGAATAAAATTCATAATTTATTGGACTTATGAATTATTGGTTTTAAAGTAATCTACGTACAATGTAAACAATAAAAACAATAAATAAATAAAAAAATACTAAAAATATTCTACACTTGTAAATATGACAGTTCGGGACATTAAAACGTTAAATCTAAAAATAATGTGTTTTAAAAAAGCAGACGAATATTGTTTGAATATACCCAACAATTAATATAATACTCAATCAAGAACGGCAAACGTATATGCATACATTAATGTGCTTAGTTTATTTTTTCATTTTTATAAATCTAATTATAATTTTATTTACAGATATTATAAAAATGTCGATAAAACATAATCGTTTAGATTATTATAATAATATACGGAACATATTTAATAATATGGATAGGCAATTTATTTTATATTAATATTTTAATTCGAAAAATATCAAATTGAATAGCGAATTAAAACATTATACTATCTATAAATCTATATATTTACTAAATGAATGATTTTCGGTTTTTTTTTTTTTTTTTTACTATTCAATAGCATATATATATATTCAAATTTAATATAATGATATACAAACCACATTATATAACTATATATATATATATATAAGATAAACGCAGTCAGGTATAATAAATTATATTATTTTAATATTCCAAAAAGAGTTTGTGGTTTTATCACGTTTTTTAATTTGTTTTTGGACAGATAAACATACTTTTATAAAGTATTGAGGAATTAAAATCAGTTTAAAATGATAAAATTAAGTTAATTAATTAATAAAAAAATGTTGATTGACAAAAACAAAATCACCCAATACTTTATTATAGTTTTGATTGGTTATAGATAAACTCGACTCTACAAAGTATTAATCGTGTTTTTCAGTCGTATTCACATCTTAACTAATATTTCGCTGTTATATTATATCGAGGCAAACAAAATATTTGAAGCGTCTCATTTTTAGCGTCTACATCGGTGACACATACATGCAAATCATCAAATTGTATTTATTTTAATAAATTAAACTTTTCAACCTATTGTTATGAGCTTCGTGGGTTTAAAACGTTTAATATTGTAAAGATATATATATATACATTTATTTATTTATAAATGCATAATTATCGACTTTGGAAATTGATGTAAACTGGAAATTATTATTATTATAAACATCCTTATGCACAAGTGTATAATTATCAAAGCTCGCCTCAGTATTATGTCCGGAGTCGATTCGATCGGAGTTAATTGTATTTCAATTGAGTTATAAACCGAACAATATGTATGAAAGAAAAATATGTACTTTGCGTCATGTCGTCCGATGATATCGGGCCAGTTATATTCGATACGTTTGTCTTCTCGACGATCAGACAAAAGTGTCTTAATTATCTGCCAGCCAAATTTATTGCTCAGAAACATTTGGACCGTTGTCATATAATACATTGGTCGTGACGCGTTTTGGAATCACAATTTAAGAACGCACAGAAAAAAAAAAACGCTATTACACGGTATTTAATAATAATAGTAATAATAATAATGACGAAAATAAGTGCACAAACACGTGTCGTTAAAACCTTACTCGTACGAGCGTGCGTACCGATGTGTGCGTATATATACCACACATATATATATATATATGAATATGTAATCGGGTGTCTGTGGCTGTTCGTGTACGTATAAATAAAAACAAAAAAAGCGATACTATACGGCAGTGTTAAGATGAAATTCGGACCGGCCGTGAGATTTCGAGGGCCGATTGTGTCCGGTTTAGATTCCACTGGCCGGCTTTAGACAGACAAAAGCCAAGCCGACGATGATAAAAAACGAAGTAGGAAAAAATATTATACATATTTTATCGTGTAAAAAAAAACAAGAAAAACAAAAAAATACCAAGTGGAATGTTGTCGCGTACAGAAACTCAGAGAACTGGTGTTGAGAGATAAAATTAAAGAAAAAAAATGTCAGTCGCATATGCACATCGTGCTCGTCTTGTACACACACACGCGCGCACGCTCACACATAGGTACACATCGGGGGGGGGGAATGGAATCCGGCAAATCAAATCGTTATAGCTTATATTATGATATATCAAATATATTTATTATAATAAAAAAAAAAATGTTCATTTTCGTTTATGAATACTCATTTCGTTTATATGGAGTGTTTATCATATGACTCGAATATTGTATTCATATATAATGTAAAAATCGAAAAAAAATTTTTTAATAGTAAACACGTATCATGTACGTGGACCCAAGAAGATAATACTATATAGTAATAACAATAATAATTATACGTAGGTACTTATATAGTATGAGTACTGACGTAATCAATTTGTATATTCAACGACGATCAAATTAAAAACTTCAAAACCGTTTTTTTTTTGAAACATAGTTAGGTACACAAATACTTGAAATTTCAATAGTTACTTTGATATAGAATTTCTAGTTTTATCCGTTCTGATTATAATACTCGTATTATGTTACGACGGCGATGAGGTAGGTTCGTACTCAGGAGATTCGTATCGAAACGAGTTTTATTAGGCGTAGTTACGGTGTTTGTTGTTTTTCGATGAGTGATGACAGTCACAGTTTTTCGAGATACAATACTATAATATACATATATACACACAAACCCACATAATCCACCTACGTCGGTAGAATTTTTTTTTTTTTTTTAATCGTACATATTTTTGGTTTCTCGTGATTTTTTTTTCTTTTACAAGCGACAAACCGACAATTATTTCTTGGCGTGTACGACGCGACGAGCACGATAATCGACTAAGACGTCTCGCGATGCGCAAGATAGGGAAGAATATAAAGGGAAAAGTAAATAAATTCGGTTCGCGTGCATTAAGAACTACCCGCTGCAGTCGCTGCAACAAAAACTATGACACTAGTGCACAAACCGCATGGGAATATAATCCCTTATTCGATAATCCGGACCATATGGAATATAGATGTGCTTAGTACTGCAGCACGCTCGAGCATTTGACTATAATATTTATTTAATACTTTTGGGCCGCAAGGGAATAAATATATGAATGCGTGGAACACACGTGCGATCCCACCTGGTTTTAATAACAGTTATTAGCAATATAATACTTCCTTATTACGTTTTTTCTGCGGATTTGGCAGAGTAGAACAAGATCGGGCAGGGAACAGAAATCGTGCAGACCCTGTGTTTACCGGTTGCTCCCGAATGGTATTTAACTAAAAAAAAGAATACGCTACAAAGTACATGTATAAGTGAATTTATAGGTACTTTATCATGTTTCTTGGATGCGACGTCCACAGATGATTGCATTACGTGCGTTCTGGTGCTCGATCGTTGCGGTTTTTAAACAAACGATTCCGAAACTTGGTGAGAGCAGTGATGCGATGACTATACACTACTATACACTACTATACTGCAGAATTATCGAATACAATGGGTTTATAAATATTTTACATTTTATTTGTCACGGTTGTACATGAGTGCCATGTTTCTAGGAGACGGTGAAATTATGCACCGACAATACGGAGGTCAAGAACATGTCATAATATCCCTCATGTAGTCCAGAGTTAATATCAAACACGAGTTTATAATGTTTGGCATCGAAACGAGTGATCCCTGTCTCTCTACTCATGTAAAACATCCGAAGAATCAACCATATGTGGTGACCGTTATTGCACTACAATAGACATGTTTTTTACGACCATATAATAATATCTTCGTGTTTCAGCCGCTCACTGTACAGGTATAGTCTGGTATACGGTAGACCAGGGGTCTCCAAACTATTTTTTAACCGGCCCCCAAAAAAACGGTAAATTATCTAAAAGTACGTGTAATATCCAAAGTCAGTATCGCGTACACGTGTCAAATATCACCTATACGGCTGTATCATAATTTAGGTCTGCCAAGAGCTTTTGAAATTTTATGTGGCCCTTGAATGTAAAAGTTTGGAGATTCCTACGGTAGACAATCTCACCTGATACGTTCCAATATCGGGGATCGAATATGCGGATATATACCACTAACACTGCGACTGCATTCTAGACAGCACGTGCATTTACTGCTGCGAAAGAACATGTAGAACGAGACACTGTACCGATGCTCGACGCGACGTTTTAACAATATTACAGACATAAACGGAAGCAATTATAATACCATGGTCGTATTTCGTACAACTGTACGATGATCAATAAAAAATAGTTTTACGAGTAAAGATTTATTTTTCATGAGGAACAATTATGATGTAAATTATATTGTAAATCGGGTATAGAAAGTTATTATTTTGAAGAGGTAATGTTGACATTTATTTGTCCAAGCGTAAGGTAATAAAATGCGAAAAGAACGTTGAAAACTGTTTGATAAATTTTCAAGACAATGCACGGTTGTACTTTATAATATTTCCATTAAAAAGATAACTTATGCTTTAAGAGAAGACCTTTTATTAAATAAATTACTACCAGAATTTTATCAAATTCTAACTGTAGACATGGTATATATTTAAAATACCTCGAATGTTCAAATTAATGATTTTATGATTGTAAAATCACTTATGATAATAACCTGCGAACTACCTAACAAATAGTTACAAACTGATTTATACTAAATATATTTATAGAGAAAAACGGCAACTCTTTGCACACGTTTGCTATGCTATGGAATTATTACTATTATACGGTACTTATACAATTGAGCAGTGCTCAGTGACTTGTACTTCACTATATTATAAATGTAGTATTAAGATATAAAAACGTTACACTTACTTCGGCTAGCCATGAATATTTCGATAGCAATATTCTGCAGCAAGTACCGACGCGAGAATATTGCTCTGATCTCCGAAAAATACCATTTCCCGTGCAGATGGTCGCAGTATTTCAAAACCTGTGGACAATCAACAACGTTTAGTTAGTAATTTGAACATGCATAAGTAATGATGCATGTAAGATGTAGCATGAGTATGATGTAGGTAAAAATAGTAAGACTTGTCAGATGTGTTAATTCCGTAAGCGATTCGAATCTAACTATGCTCAGCTGTTCTAAGATACGTAGTTTGTCAGTTAAATATTACGGCTAAAGTAACTGTTATTCGCGTACGTAGAACATGAAATCTTGTGTTCATATCGACGAATTCGATATCGATGTTTGTTCGGGCGGCCAGAAAATTCTACGCACAGCAAGGCCGCACAGTAGTCGTATATCATAAAATCGTTGTATTTCAACGGGTCAACAACGATTACTAATGGGTTTGTTTCGGCGTTCGTTCACGCTCACGTAACCACCGAGTTCCGTGATCACCGCGAATTAACTGCACTATAATAGTTCTAATCGACTGGACGATCGCTGATCTCGTAAATACTAATCGTTCTGATTTTTATCGATAGTCGTATTTACATAAACGCTCGTGATGCAACGCGACCGGGTGCATTTGTATGGAAACGCTTTTAATACATATTTCATCGAAACTACGCGCGCATCGACGAGTTAGGGACGAAGACGATACGTTATGAACGCGTTTCGATTATTTGTTCACCAGCGATCACGAACCGTCCGTACGCGCAGAGCGTTCGGAGACATCCGAACGCGAACCAAACGGTCAACTATTTCGCGATGGCCACTGCCGTGTGATACGAAGCAGACCGTAGTAATGTGTATTTCGATACTTGCGACAGCGGAACACTGCATTTCGGACGTCATTGGTCGTCCCTGTACCCGCGATCGTTTTCAGACGCGCATCGTGCGTGTATTGCACGCGACGGGTTTTCAAAATTGTTTTTAATGACGTCTTACTGGTGCTGCACAACCGGCAGATCCACGGCGGAAAAATAAGTGCGTGAAAAAAAGAAACCCCCGTGTCAACACATATTTACTTGCAAGATCCTCTGTTTCCACGGCCGTCGGTCAATCCAATACGTGCCGACGACAACAGTGCGCATCTCACGATCGTATTGTTTGTTGTACGCACGCGTGCGCGATCGGGGTATAACGCGTCCCGGCGGGTTGTTTGCACACGCCCGGGGCGCCGTCGACGGAAGCATTTTATTCGGCATGCACGATATTTCGCAATTTGTCGACATCCCCCTCGAGCGGCGCGAACCACACGCAGCGGGGCGTTCGCGTTATTATTATCCGTTTTGGCGGGCGCGTGTGAGGCGGCGAGATAAGTGTCGAGGACCATGTCGCGGACTACGATTCAAGTATTATAATATTTACACACGCACGGTAGATGGGCAAGTGTTTGAACGATATATCGTATGTGATATATAATAAGAGTATTATAATTATCAACGCTCGGATTTTATAGCACTGAAATATGCACGTCATTTTATGATATAAAAAAATTCTAAAATAATCGATATTATATGTCCCGTAAACATCAAAAATAATGGTAAACCGATCATTTTTTTTTATGTTATATTCTCTGTTAAACAGTTTGAAAAAAAAAATGTTTTAATTAAATGAAAATATGAGGAATCTATAATTACAACAATTGTTCCTACAATTGTAATTTTAAATCAAAGATTTATGAATGACATGAAATCAATCAAATCAAAAGAAATTAATGTAAGGAATCCGAAAATGTAGCACTAAAACAGGAGAATAAGCACTGTAGAACTAAAATTCTGGAAAGTGCAAAATATGTAAAAATATGTAGTCTAAAATGTCGGACAGAAACAAAAATTGGTAACATTTGCCGTATAAAATTACCGAGACCTCATAACTGTTATAGCCGGCCGAGTTCATCCATCATATTATGGTGGTATGTTTTTAAATAAAAAACAATAAAGATTTCCGTCCGCCACACGCGACTATTGCTACGCACACGTCTATTGTTTACGATAGTCGATCGATGAACCGACGCTTTACAATTGCCGCATAATTACGACTCAACATCGATCAAATTCATAGCACATATGTATAAAACATAGAGCATAACCCTGTTCACAAAAATAGTACGATGTTCGCGCGAATTGACAGTTTTTTTTGTTGTGGATGACAATCGTTCAACTGCGTTTTTTACGCTCATATCACCAAACAATATAGCCCGAAATGTTATTTGTTCTAAAATAATAAAACTTATAGTGGACCAAAAGAATTGTACTGTTTCCACGATAACTTGTAAAAAAATTCAAACACATTGAATTTTAACGTTAAATGTTATGCACAATAGATGAAACGTCAAAACGTGATGAATCACAGAATTACGCGTACGTGTATGATAAAAGCGCTTCAACGGTTTATTATATTTGTGGATTGTGTTGCAGTGTAGAATTTAATGTATAACGCGAAATGATTTTGTAAAATAATACACGGCCGTTTGAATAATAGGATATTTTTCGTGCGTTAATGTGGCGGCTTTGGTGAACCAATAATAAGAAATATAACTAACTCACGTAAAGGATTCTAATTCACGGTGTCGGTGTTCATATGGCGCGAGCGATGTCTGAGACGCATTATTTATCCGTGTCAAAATGTTATTGCGTTTCAATAATTATTCCGTAATATTATGTACTATATAAACACGCCAGAAGCAGTATTTATATTTGTTTTTTTTTTCTCAGCATAATTAATTTTAATAGATACTTAAAATAAACAAACGAAAATTACGACAAAGCGCCGATCGGATAATATATATTCTTATAATTTATATACTTGTTACGTATACCATAGGTATACGTATTTATTTATTTATTTATTTATTTATTTTATTTATTTATTTTTTTTTTTTTTTTTAGTATTTGCGGTCAGAGCAGCCATACATAGGTGTATATATAATACAATATAATGTATAAGCGCTCTACAAATTGAAAAACAAAAAAAATAAACTGTTGAATTCGTATGCGTTTTTAATATTTAAAATAAATTAGAGATCAGAGTAGATTCTTTAAATATTATGCCATGCTGGTATACATTATATACGCATTGGTTAATGATTATAATATATAAAATATAAATACTATATACATATCGACTGATCCAGAATGAAGCAGTCAGAATTTATAGTAACAACGCGCGCATCTTATAAACAACAATTAGTGCGTTTCATCCAATTAGATATATTATATAGATACATTGTATTAGATATATTATTATTGTTGCTGCGCATGCAGGGATAGCGAGTTTAATGAAAAGTTAAGTTAAATCTTGATGGTCGATTAAAATTTTATTGTTTTTTTTATTTTTTTTATGGACACTACGAGGGTTCAAGAATAAACTAAGTGTAGATATATTATCAGAAGACTTCGTTTTCAGATCGAAACGATTTCAATAACGGTTAAATTTATAACGACTAAACGATTTCTGGAAATAAATATCCAATAATAAGTACTGTATATTATTTTTAATGCTATGTGAATAGGTTTTAAACGGTACGAAATGTAGTATAGTTATGTTCATTTTATAATAAGACGAAAAAGTTTCGTCTACTACGTCGTTTTACCATGTATGTGTTAATAAATGTTCTAAAGAATTAATAAATTTAATTGTTTAAAATATCGCGATTGCTCGAATATCAATCATACAATTAGAATGTTATTAACAGTTATGTAAAACTATGGAACAGACTCTTTTACCAACTAGATATATCAAAGATGTATAGTATACTATAGGTGTTATATTAAGCGCTTAACATAATTAAAATTGCACTAGGGAAAATATTCTACACTGCGACCACATTCGTGTTACATATAGTATGTATACACACGGGTCTAATAATAATATTTTCCAGATCAAATCGCATCATGGATAAGCCCGTCCCGGCCGTACGGTAGGGTGTAAGTGTATTCCTAGTCATTTTCGATGTGAAATATTATATCTGCAGCACGTGTTTTTAATAGGACGAACCTCCCCAGTAATTTATTAGGGATGTTGTGTCTAGGCGATGACAATTCCCCGGTGGCCTTCCCATAGCGGCTGTAGCGGTGGTCGCCGCACAAAAACCCTGCATGGCAGGACCGCCGTCACGTTCATCCCGATAATTATTAGTCGTATACGCGCGCGCATATTGCAGCGCACATGTACGTGAAGACGTTATGGAACAAATAGTTACTCCATAATAAAAAAGCGGACGAACAGGTGATGGATTTGAACGAGAATCTCGTAAAATGTACCGATTAATGTACGTATGTATAAAATATTCTAACGTCCGAGTCGAATTTCTTTCGGCCGAACACACGTGCCGGAAACCGTTCGATTGTGAAATGGAATATTTTTTCAGCGACGCACGGTGATGACGGCGCGTGTCACCGTATAATACGCAATTTGGTTGAACACCATTATTTCGGTCCAATGAATGTTAATACACGAATCGTGTACGTACGACAAAATATCAAAATTAAAAACTCGAGAAACAAAAGTTGTAATGTGTATCGATAATCATCGATAAACGAATGAAATGTTTAATTTATTTTAAATGTTTATTCCAAATAATCATCGAAGAAAAATACGATGTATTGCCTTGTATGGGTATGTAACATAACACGTAAGCTATTTTAATGTTACCAGTGAATTTGAGTAACTAAACGGAACAGTACTTGAAGAGTAGTGTACCAGCTGGGTGTACGGATATCGAACGCAAAATCAATACGGACGGGACCGTACCGCGGAAGTTTATGAATATTAATTGTACTGTCCTTAAATCGAATTTCGCAAACACCTAGGCATATTATAGAGGTGTGTTTTCCAGGGATATGAATTCGGTACTTGGAAATATCATTATGACGCACAGGAGACGAAAAATATCGAAACGGTATAATATTTCAAATTTAGTAACAACACTGTTTCGATCGTTTTTTTGCGTCCCGGTCGATTTGCGTAACATACAAGTGTACACACGGGTGCGTATCAAAAATACGTACTAATACGTGTTCATCCCGACGCGTCGT